TCCAGAGGAGGGACAGTGGTTTGGACATGTCCAGAGGAGGGACAGTGTTTTGGACATGTCCAGAGGAGGGACAGTGGGTATATTGGTAGAAGGATATTAGAAATGCAGCTGCCTGGAAAAAGACAAAGGAAGAAGACCAAAGAGGAGATATATGGATGCAGTTAGAGAGGACATGGAGGCAGATGGAGTGAGGACAGAGGATGAAGAGGACAGAGTGAGATGGAGGAGGACGAGTCGCTGTGGAGACACCTGAAGAGGGAAAAGCTGAAAGCCGACGTCTGGTCTCACTTCTTAAAGATTTCTTTCTTTTTCACTACAACCAGGAAAAATTCCTGGTCACAACATCTCAAACGCTCGTGTTGCTGTAGCCGATGTTAGGAATCTTAAACGTGGGTGTTGAAGAACAATCAGTACTTTTGTGTTTCTACGTTCATTGAACTTGTTCAAAGCAATAAAAGGATTTTCAGAAACACCTGAACCTTCAGCTGTGCAGGTCACAAATCTGCAGACGTTCAATAAAAGAAGCAGAAGTTGTAGAAATGTTAAAAGATGGAAGAAAATATTTATGTAATCCTAATTCTACACAACAGTAACATTGCATAATCTCAACAAATAAGATAGAATTGCTTGAAGAAATGCTCATCACCCAGCCAGATGTAACCACTTCAGAATGTTCAAAATCTTTTGTAACTTTTTGTTTTATGAGACGTGAGACAAGTTATAAATCATGTAGCATGATGCTAACCTCATGATGCGTCTAAGCCAAACTTACTTTAAAGTATCTTTCATCTCATTGTTTTAATAATGATTTGTTTGTGCTTTACAGCAGCTTGAGCAACTTGTATAATATTTTAATCTAAATTGGGCGACCCGTCTTTGTTTTTGCAGATAAATTAGCCCTGGAAGGCGTGGTGGTGCAGAGAGCAGAGTGCAGACCCGCCGTCAGTGAAAGCTACATGAAATTAAAGAGGTGAGTTACAGATTATCTAGATATCTAGTAAATATCCAAGTTTTAAACAAATCTTTGTTAAACAGGTTACAAATCGAGGAGTCCTCCAAACCGGCCCGGCTGTCCCAGCAGCTGGACAAAGCAGTCACCAACAACTACAAACCCGTGGCCAACCATGAGTACAACGTGAGAACCGTCCGAGGACTGGGTTGATATTCACACGTGTCCCTCACACGGTTTCATCACTCTTTTCTGTTGCTGCAGCGCGAGTACGAGAGGAAAAAGAAGGAGGAGGGAAAGCGAGCGAGAGCGGAGAAGCAGCAGGTGTTGGACATGTTGTTTTCTGCCTTTGAGAAGCACCAGTACTACAACATCAAGGACCTGGTGGACATCACCAAACAGCCAGTGGTAAGGTCATCCAGGAAACAACCGTCGTGTTCGTACACACCAGAGCTGGTCGGTTACTGAGCCACTTGCGTTCAAGACCCAAATCCTCACACTGAATCAGAACACACAAATCTGGGGTCTATATTAACCCAGATCCTTCATGTCCTGTAGCGGTCCACACGTTGGCGAACTCACCGGAAAGAAACCTCAGACAGATCGGGTCGCTGCTCCGGGTTTATACAGCGAGAGCAACTCGAGTGAACCAAGTTACTTTAGCACGTGATTCAGATTAACCTGGATCCTTGAAGTGAACCAGATTAGACCAGCCGTTTATTTACAATGCTCGTTCGAATGATTTTTAAATTTTCACAACCGAGATCCTGATTTATCACATTTCGAGGTTAAAACTCATAAATGATCATAAGAGTAGTTACAGCTCTGATTTATTTTTTTGTTTCTCACTTTATGGTTCCAACAACTTTTTCATGCTGTGATGTTTTAACTGTCTTATATTAAAACATTCAGCTCAATCAAGAATAAAGTCCTCTGCCTTTGAGTGTTCGCAGGCTGTAATTATTTAAATATGTTTTCAAAGATTCTTCACTTCCTTCAAACACTTAAGCTCCTATTTAGCTGCTGTCCTGTTAATTTTTTATATTAGTTTTTATATAGGAATTTGTTACATTTAGCTTTTAGTTATGGTTTTGCTAACTTAAAACATTTTTGTTATTGGTTTTATTAATTTCAGCTTTTTCTCTATGGTTTTGCTGATTTAACCTTACAGCTAAAGTTATTTACAGCTGGATTATCCGTTTAATTTTTGCTTTTAGCTACGGTTTAGCTCATTTTGGTTTTCGCTACAGTTCTGCTCATTTGAACTGCGCTTAGCAAAACAGGCACCAACATTTGTAACTTTTAACGTTCAAAGTTACAATTGTTGTCTTTGGTGCCCGTTTGTTTTCGAAATATGACAGGCATCAACTTAAAACACTTTGTAGAACGGTGCTTTATGAAGTTCTGTCCATTTCTATTAGTTGACTGGCAGTTCTGCCACATTTAAAATGGCGGACGCTCCGACATACCGCTGCAGCAGACCAGCCCGCTCAGCGAGGCGTCTACGTATATACGTCTACGGTTCAGCCTGTACTGATGCGATTCTGATAGTTTCCTGATAGTTTCCTGTGATTGGTTCTACTCTTCAGACGTACCTGAAGGAAATCCTGCGGGACATCGGCATCTACAACGTGAAGGGAACTCACAAAAACACCTGGGAGCTGAAGCCAGAGTACAGACATTACCAGGACGAGGAAAAGACTGACGAATAGTTGCTTTTGGACAATTTGCTTTAGTTTCTGTCCTTGAAAAAGTTTTCTTCTCCCGAGAGACGAACCAGATGAGACTTATGTTGGAGATGAAAACCCACAAAACATGGGACTCGGACTGGAAACCCTTGGAACCCAAACTATAATCCTTAGAATTATTTTTAAGGTGTTTTGGCAAATTAGTGTTTTTGTTTAGGATACCCCATTCAGGATGTGATTGGTTTTAACCACATTTGTGAATTTCTGCTGATCCAGCATCACTAGTTTTAAAGATTTAATGTTTTGAATAAAGGTTTTTTGGTATTTTTCCCTCAATCCTCATTTACCTGTAAAGCACACTGTAGCACGGCGGTGGCCCCCAGAGCTCAGTTTAGCTGAGTTTTAAACGGGTTATAAAATTGAAAGCAATTCATTTACTACATAAACAGATCAGATAACATGCAAATGAGCTTCAAAATATTAAAATAAACTTCAGTTAACATTTTGGCAGATTGTGTTTCAACCTAAGTATTAAAAAAAAAAATCTCAAACTGAAACGTCACAATGCAAAAAGATTTATAATTTTGTTTATGTGGATTTTACGTGCATTTTGTGCTGAGGTTCTATATTCTTCATATCAAACAGTCCCACAATCTTTCTTACCATAGTTTGTAGTGAGTGACAAAGGCTTTTAAAATTTTAAGTATTTAATCTGTATATTGTTCATTTACCCTTTATTTATTCAGGTAGTCTCATTGAGTCACGAGAACTCCTTTTAGAGACCCGTTTAGGGAGCAGATGGTGGGGGTTTTGGGCCTTGCTCAGGGGCCCAGTGAGGGTGGATGGAAGCGTGGGCGTTTCACCTTTTCCACCCACATTTTGATGACGTACTGGGAGTTGAACCTGCGACTTTCCGATCACAGGCAGGCCCATCTTCTCCAACCTCTGCACCACCTTTTGTTCCACGTGGTGAAATGACAAACCTACATGAACTTATTAGACAGCGGGTTTTGGCGCAGACATGTCGACTAGACAAAACGGTCACAAGACACTTCCAAGGGTCTGGAAACCACGAGGCCCCAGAGCTGCAGACCAGTATCAACTTGTAACAGACGTGTGAAAACAGCGAGCAGAGCAAACTACCGGTAC